AAGATAATAGTGTTTGAAATTTAGCTGGACATTTACTTTAAAAAAAGTTGTGAAATTATTGGGGGGCCCAGACCCCCTTGGCCCCTCCCCCCGCTACGGGCCTGCATAGTATGGAAATGCTACCTACTTTTCAACACATTGCTTGCGAGGTAGAGGGGGTTGAAGGGGTATTGCTGCTTTCTATTGTTATTGGGCTTCCTCCAGAATATGAATGTACTATTCATTCAATGATTGTAGTTTTAATTTAAGAAATTTTAGGTCAATCAAAAATATTACTAAATAAGACTATTGGAAATTTCACTGACAGAAGCTGTTGATGTAATTATGAAGAGAAAATGGGTAATCCAGTACTGCTCGGAAGCTGGATTTTCATTGCCCCTATGTACAGTACTGCTTTTGTAAGGTTAGGTTTAGTGCTAATATTGTTTGGAAGACCAATCTATTTTTTAATCCAATCATGCAACTTGTTCTGAGCAGTACAGGCTGGCTCGAGAAAATATGCTCTTTAACTTGACTGTATGCTGTAGTTCCAAAAAAATATCCATACCCCATAATGGAGGGAATTTGTAGGACCCCCCTATCCCAAAACCTTCCAAATCTCTTCCATACAAACACTGTTATTTTTGTTTTCTCTGACCCCCTGGCTCTCCAGAATTTCCAATTTTTTCTATGGTTGGGGTATGGATATTTTCTGGAATGACACCAGGGCCGTAACCAGGGGGGAGTGCAGGGTGCACGTGCACCCCCCCATAAAAGCTTAAGGTATGCTCATCTTTCTCCTTTTGCTTTAAAATTGCATGTAAATGTTTTTTTTAATTAAATGAATACCACTTTCCATAGACTGCATATCGTAGCTTTTTTTTTCTTTTTTCCTTTTTTTTTTTTTTTTTTTTTTTTTTTTTTTTTTTTTTCTTGTGAAGACTATTCATCTTACAGAACAATTTTTGCCGTTTTTTTCCTTTTTTTTTTTTTTTTCTTTTTTCCTTTTTTTTTTTTTTTTGTTTACCTTTTTTTTGGTTCTGCAAACCATCTCCTGTGCACCTCCTCTGCAAGATCCCTGGTTACGCCACTGGACCCATCATAAATATATAATTTACTTACAGTTTTCAGCTGCTCCTTGGCTTCTCTTTCTCTTTCTTCTTGCTCCAGTTTTTTTATGTTTCCTTTTGCTCTGCTTAGTGATCCATTTTCCATAAAAGATTTGCTTCGAGGTCTCTGTTCATAATCAGGTGCCTTGCAGTCTTCAATTTTCTGGACTATGTCTATTACCCTTTGGTCAACCTTCACCACTCCATTAGCTGGAAAAATAGAAATAATATTATATATTCATAAGCAAATGAACAAACAAGCAAACAGAGCAAATGCATGGTGCAACAATGAGCCAACTAACAAACCAATGAAAGAACCAACCAACCAACGAATGAGTAAATAAATGGTCAGTGAATGGATGGGCAAATTTGCAAGTTAGGGTAGTGCACTCAATTGCGTTTCACCTCTGGCTGTAGGGGTCTTAGGTTCGATTCCCAGACTCAACATCATAATGTAGTTAGATTTTCTTAGGTCTTTCCTTTTATTTAAGGATTTTTCTTCAGGTTCTCTGGTTTTCTTTTAGATCAGCCTAGAGGTTGTTTCATGATTTGATCTGTGAACTAGCAGTGCCCTGACTTAAATCAGTCTAAGGTTGTTTCAGGGTTTGATCTGTGATCATATGATTTTGCCATACCCTGACTTTGATCAGCCCAGAAGTAGTTTTAGGGTGAGAGATAGATGGGAAAGAGAGAAACTGTTGTCAAACACAAAAATAATTGTAGTATTATTATTATAATTATTATTATTGTATCGTTTTTTAATGAGCAAATTTAACATGGAGCAGGAATTCTAACAAATTAAGGCTTTGTACAATTTTTAAACTTACCTCGAACATGGAGCATGTTCCCACCCATGGGGAAAGTGTCAAAAGCAAGAGGTAGAGGAGTGTTGGATGCATCCAAGAACACAGAATGGGTTAGAAAACTCAAGTCACGGCTGGAGAACAGTGGTTCAAGAGAATCCCTGAAAAATACACATACAAAAACTATCAAAAATCATGACGGCATATACTGCACTGTCATTTTTTAAATCCTATTTTATTTAAACCATTGGCCAAAGGCAGATGATCACACAATAGGACATTACATGTAAGTCTCCTACAAGGTGTATCATCCAAATCCAACCCATGTACTATAAGATATACTAATAAACCCTCAAATAAACCTGTAAGACAATATATATTAACTATAAATATTGATTAACGCTTGGTCCTCACCTGTTTGTCATCACTGAAAATTTAGATTTTTGTGATTTTTTTTGTGATTTTTTGTAAATTTTTTTCCATAAGGTACTTTCCATTTCACCTGGTATTAGCAATAACTAAGTAGCCTGCATTTCAGTTATCGGTAGACTACTGTCTCTAGTAATGTATATGAATTTTTAATCAAAAAATCTAGTAAAAGTAAGACATACTTGAGGGTTTTTCCTTTCAAGGCAGGAACAACTTCCATTTGAACATCATCTTCGTTTTCTCCGTGAAACTTTACTCTGAAGAAGTCTCTTCCAGGGTCCTAAAAGAAATGAATGAGAATGAATAGTTGAAAATTATGATTAAAGATTTTAGGTGGAGCAGAAAGGAAGGAAAAAATCCACTTTTTTAGGAAAGGGACAGGAGTACACAATTACAGCACGATTGATATGCAAAAATATTATGTATTCAGACACATACTTTAATGCACTGCAGGCATTCGTAAGGTAAACCAACACATTCTAATGCAAAACTGGCTACTTTGGCAGCAAGACACGGCTGTTTCGTTGTGGACATTAGGTTTCAGGCCACTACTCGGCCAATCCATGTTGCTATGCACGTCTTTCGCTAGCAACCAAAATGGCGCCGAATTTAAAATTGTTCGCCATGAGAAAAAAACCTTTATTTTTTCACTAAACACAAACTATTTTTGAAAGCAAATATATTTCAGAG